CCGTCGGTGCAGCCCGAGGCCTTCCAGGAGCGCACGAGGCTGGGCACCACCCCCAACACCGTCACATGCGCGTCCTGACTCTCAGGAATGTGCGCGGTTGGGGAGGGAACAGTGGGGGCAAGGGGGAGCAGGGGAGGCAGAGGGGAGCGCAAGTGCAGGTAAGAAACACGGGTTGGGGGAATAGGACGACGGGGTTTAGGTGGTGACACTCGCAGGAGTTTGGGTCAAAACTTGCCCGAGTGCTCACGCGCTGCCCTGTGTTGCCTATTCTGCCCTTGCTCTCCTCTATCGCCCCTGCCCATCCCATCCTCACCTGAATAAAGCGTGCGAATCCGTGGGTGAGTGGCGAGCCGTTGTAGAGGGCGATGGTGGCGCCGTTGAGCAGAGCGGCGAAGAGCAGCCAGGGGCCCATCATCCACCCCAGACTCGTCGGCCAACAGATGATGTCCGCCCCCTCCCACTGCTGCTGCTGCTGTGCGCTGCCATGATCCTCTCCCGCACTCCCGTCTGGCCCCTGTGTGCCACACTGCGCGCCCCTCACATCGTGGTGCGCCCAGGCGTCTGCAGCAGCCTTGATGGCCGAGAGCGCTGACCATGGGATGGCCTTGGGGGTGCCTGCAGCCCATGTGACGCATGCAGGCATGGGACGAGCAGCGTGCCACGGCATGGCACGGATTCAATGGGATTGCAACCGACACTCGTTTGTTCCCACATCAACGACGCATGAGACGGCTGAATGGCAGAGGCAACACAAAGGGAAACGTAGGAGAACAGTCCACGCGGATCTACCAGGCAGCACCCACCAGTGGTGCCGGAGGAGAAGAGAATGTTGATGCTGGCGTCCACTGCCATGCTGACACCTGGCACGCTGTGAGTGGCGGAGGCGAGGAGGGGGCAAGCAGGAGGATGGAAGAGGGAATGCATGTTGAATGCGGAGGTTCTGGTTGGCAATGGGAGGCATGGGAAGACGCGTTTGAGGGGATCCGCTCCGCACGGCTGGTGGGCTTGAGAAAATCCAATCGACACCCGCTGGTAGGGTGGTAGAACATGGCTCAAGTGGACATCAGAGGCACATTACGCCAACATGCATACGCCCATCACATCACCAGTCACCAGTCACCAGCACCGCACCTGCTGGTGCTGCTGTCTGTTGCTCGCTGCTGCCCCTCAGCCTGGAAGCTGCTCCACCACACGTCGCCCTCTCTCAACGCGACACGTGGCGCTCCCTCAGTGGCTGGCAGGACAATGGCGGGCGGCGCACCCGCCTCCACCACCCGACTGGGCGTGACAACGAGGGGCGAGTGGAGGAGGGGCGACGGGGGGCGAGGCGAATGAGTGGAGGGGGGCAGCCAGCATCAAGGGCAGCGAGGGGCGAGGGGCGAGGGGCGAGGGGCGAGGGGCGAGGGGCGAGGGGCGAGGGGCGAGGGGAAGGAGGCGGGCAGCACAGGGATTGGGAGACGAGTGGCGCAATGATGAGACACAGAGAAGGAAAAAGCGGAGAGCGCAAGAAGAAGGCAGGCGGAGCAGCTGTAGAGGCACAGCAGTGACAGCAGAGTGAGGGTTTGCATGCAGCACGTATGGCCATACCTGTAGAGTGGCAGCAGCTTTGCGCCACGTGGAATGAAGTCCTGCGAGGGGCAAGAGCGAGGAGAGGCGCGAGAAGGGAGGGAGAGGAGCAGAGAAGGGTGTAGAGGGGTTTGAGCAGGCGAGGAGAGACGGATGGAGAGTGGTGACGGGCCTTTCCAGCCAGCATCAGCCCCACTCACCCACGCTCTGCCTGCTGCACCATCCCCCAGTGAAACACGGAGCTACAGCGCTGCCACGCTAGGCGCGGCTGGCCTGGCCTGCCATCGTGACTAAGGAGCTGCGCCGTAGCTAGAAGAAAGGATAGAAGTTACGCAGCGGAAGAGAGCTAAGCTAGAGAGAGAAGCCTAGCTCCAAGAAACGTCGACGAGAGAGAGTGTTGGTAGAAGTCCTCAAGAAGATAGTATTCGACGATCCAAGGATGATACAAGAAGAGCTAGGGATGAATATTCATGCTAGGAAGAAGGGATGGCGACTTGGAAGGAAACTCGCGTCGCCACACTTTTACCATGGCATCTTGGCATAGCGCCTCGATGCCATGCCCCGTTGGATTCTATAGCATGACGGGGATATGAGAGAGATCTCGAGGCTAGCAAGTGCAAGAGTTCGGAGGCAGATATGCAACGGTAGTAATCCTAGTCGGGTATTCCCATGCATGCTCGCATGGCGAATCCCTGACCTGTTACACCCAGACTGCCCACCATTCCCAACCCCCCCTCTCCAGTCAAGACTGTGTCCCCCAACCCCAATCAATCACACCACCCCTGCCTCTCTCTCACTCCCCTCTGCATCCGTGGCCCTCTGTCACCCCTGCGGCCATGGTCCCGTATCTCCTCGCCCCACCTGTGTGACGACCGCCTTGGCCCCAGCGATCCCCAAACGAGCAGCCATGTCACGAGCAGAGAAGCGGTCAGCAATAGACACCACAGCCCACCCCAGCAGCACTCAGCCCCCCCCAGCAGCACTCAGCCCCCCCCCAGCAGCACTCAGCCCCCCCCCAGCAGCACTCAGCCCCCCCCAGCAGCACTCAGCCCCCCCCAGCAGCACTCAGCCCCCCCCAGCAGCACTCAGCTCCCAGCGGCGGCACATCCGCGCCTGCCTCCCTGTGAACGTGTGTGGCCCCGCCCCTCGTTGCTCGCCCACCCACCTGTGTGACAATCGCCTTGGCCCCAGAAATCTTCAAGCGAGAAGCCATCTCGCGAGCAGAGAAGCTGTCAGCGATGGACACCACGGCCGCCCCGACCAACAGCACGCCCAGGTACGCCGCCACTGAGTGCACCGTCATCGGCAGCGCCAGTGCTATGGGGTCGCCTGGGCGGATGCCGCGTGCTTGTAGGGACTGGGCGACCGCACTGGGTGTGATGGGAGAGAGGGTGGTTGAGAGGAAGTATCAGTGTTGGGTACCACAGCTGCGCTCACCAGCAGCAGCACGGCCATGTAGGCCGCCAGTGAGTGCACCTACATGGGCAGCGCCATTGCTATGGGGTCGCCTGGACGGATGCCGCGTGCTTGTAGGGCACTGCATGTGGTGGGGGGAGCGTATTTGAGAGAAACTATCAGTGTTGGGCACCACAGGTGCGCTCAGCAGCAGCAGCGTTCCCAGGTAGGACAGCAGTGAGTGCACGGACATGGAGAGCGCCAGTGCTCTGGGGTCACCTGGACCCACGCCGCGTGCTTGCAGCAACTGGGCGACTGCACTGCGTGTTATGGAGGAGCTGGAAGCGGTTGTGTGGGTGGATGATGCAAGGGTGGGATGAGGGTGGTAGGGTTGGAGGTGATGGGGGACGAGGAGGGGTGGGAATGTGAGGAGCAAGTCACAGCGATGTGACACAGGGCGAGCAAGCGTGCGGCGTGGAACAGGGCGAAATCAGGAAGGATGAAGAGAGAGTGGAATGCGAAAGGGAGGCGTGGAGAGAAGAGGGGTGACATGGGTGTGAGAAGCAACGGGGGCCAAGTGGACATCCAAGACAGTGCGGCATCTCACCACCTCTCACCCACCCACTCACACTGCTCGCTGTCTCAGCTCGCCGATAGTCATGTGCCGCACAGGTGCCCCCTCCTCCCACTCCTCCCGCCACACCACCGCCACCCTCTCCCCCCCCCGCTCCCCCTCTCGCTCCCCCCTTGCTTCCCCAGCATTGTCCCCCTCTCCCCTCCATTCAGCACTTGCCAGCCCGATCTTCCCCACACCCATCCCCCTCCCCTTTCCCTCCGCCTCCCCATTCCCTCTGCCCCAACTGCCAAGGCCGCCCAGGCAACTCTCTGCAATGTTTAGCTCTGCCCCGACCAACCAGCGCCCTCCGGGCAGCTGTGAATGTTCCATGGGATCCTCGGGCAGAGAGAAGATCTTCTGAGGGGGCTTGTGGAAGATGATGCCCAGGTGGCGGAGAACGATTGGCCAGTAGAGCTGGAGCAGGGGGGCAAAAGTGGGGAAGGAGAGCGGTACAGAGGGGCACAGAGGGGCACAGAGAGGGGCACAGAGAGGGGCACAGAGAGGGGCACAGAGGGCAGAGTCAGTCAGACAGCGCCTTGCCTCGTCTCGTCCACACCAATCCTCTTCCTCATCTCCCCGGGCTTTACGTCATTCGCTGGACTCTGTCGTCACTCACCCTTCAATGACGTCACCTGTTTCTTACTGGCGTCACTCACCCCCTGCTGACGTCACCCACCTCTGGCCGGTCGTACGACAGTCGCTGCAGCTGCAAGAAGTCACCCGGCAGGTCCAGAGGCTCGTCATGCGCCTTTCCGAGAAGCTTCCTGCCCTCGCTGCTATCCAGCAGGCGGCCTAAATTGGTTTGCCGCGCCTCCTCCCTGCATGAGCGGTGGGCCGAGGACGGGGGAAAAGAGGGAGAAGAGAAGGGGAGGGTGAGAAGCAAGGCAGAAGGCGTTTCAGTTAAAGTGCGCTCGCTGGCCACGCGTAAAGCTTCAGCAAAAACTGGTGCTATCAGCGGGGGGGGCGCGGGAGGGAGGTGGGGAGGTGTTGGAGGGAGGACGGGAGGGGCAAGAAGTCAAGTCGACGCTGGGAGACGAGAGGCGATGGGCATCCAGGACCTCGATGCTGCACCCCGCGCCATCCGCGCCCAGCGAGCCATCGCTTACCGCGTCGGCGTCCACACTGGGGGCGGTCCGAGCGCGCGCTCGCGCCACGTGGCGAAGGCCGACGAGTAGAGCAGCTCGTGCACGGGGAACGGCACGTCGGGCCGCAGCAGCGAACGCGCCACGTGCTGCCACGTGGCGGAAATTGAGAGGCCGTTTGCTGCGCAGGACTGGACTAGGGCGTTGAGGGCACGGAGGAACGGCTCGGCGCGCTGTTGGGGGAGGCCCGCGGCGGTGAGATGCGGGAGCGCGAGCGCGGCGAGCGGAGGAACCGACGAGGGTTGGCTTGGAGGAAGAAGAGTCGAGCCAGAGGACGCCATGGGCGTCGAAGTTGGCAGGCGAAGGTGGTGGAGACGAAAGTTATGGTGGGCTTCTATCGTTCGATTTGATTATCCGCTGTGACGAAATCTGTGGCGACCGAAAGATGGCGATAACGACGATTGACGATGATGGTCACGAATTGGAAGAACTGGAAATATTCTGCATGTAGTTGACTCGAATGTCGAGTTATGAAGCAATAAGGGCGCGTAACCATTTTCGTTTTTCCTGAAGTTGCGTTTAGAACGAACGTTCGACAGATGGACGGTTCCATTGCACATAACGAACCGTCCGTCCAACGAAACAGAACGCCAACATTTGAACCGCTTGTTGAACTTTTTTGATGTTTTGAACTCACGCGAAAATAACGACTGTTACGCAATCATAAAGATCTCGCCATTTTCGCGAGCCAATATATGCGGCTCGGCCAACAATTTCGCACGTTCATGAATGAGTTTACCGAAAAAATGTCAGTTTCAGTTTTCCCCGCGAGTACAAAAGAATTTCGTGCGCCAACCACAAATCGCCATATTTGATCAGTTCATTGCTGACGAACCGTAACCGTTCAAGTGACGGTTTCCCTCCGTTTTACAGAAAAAGTTCAATACGGTTATGTTGCGACGTCGACGTCGCAGGGTTACTTGCGAAACATCTGCGAGCAATGACGAAAAGTGTAACCAGTGTTTCGAACGGACGTCCGAATAACGAACCGTCAAAACCAAAATGGTTACGCGCCCTAAGGTCTGGGAGTTGGACGTGAGGGAGAGGAGTGAACCACTCAGATGGAAGGAATGTGCGGAGACCGCAAAACGTAGACGAAGCAGTCGTATCGAGACGGGTTACTCGTTGCGTCGGCAGGGGAAGCTTCAGATGTGAACGAATTTTTGCGAGGAATAGTCGCGTGGCCCGGAGGAATTGTGGAAGCGAGTCGGAAGGGGGGGATGGGGGAAGGGACGAGGGGAAGTACCGCTTGGAGGGTGTGCGGGGTGGGGTGGGCGAGTGGACAGTGAAGCCTGGGGAAGCGGGGTAAGGTGATGCGAGGGAAGTGTGACCATTGGCTGTCCGACCCGCCTCGTTGCCAGTTCGGCCATTTTCAGGTGCATGCAACTTAGTCTAGGAACTGTATTCAAGTGCATGCCATGTTATTCGGCAGGTGTGTACACTTTACGCAGCTTAAAAACGTGTCATAAAATTACACGCTTCCCAAGATTCGTTTCAAATTAGCACAAACAGTCGATAATAGATGCGATTTCGGATTACGCAAAGCGAAATCGGAATGGTTGGCTCTCGATTCTGCATTTTCTGACGTCACCAGAAGCAATCATAGCACGTTTGCCCAATTTTAACGCGAATTTCTGCTTTGCCCCAACTCTTCTTGAACAATTTTAAATGCTAGATCAGCTGTACTATTGACACAAGTGACGAGCGCTGCGCATGGAAAATCAACATTTTTTTCTTGGGCGTGCAGAAATTTGGAAAGGGTAATCCCAATTATAAGAAGTCTGCCCGACTGTTTGAAAAGTTTGCCCCTATAAAAAATAATGTTCATACAGTACATGTATATTCTAATTGTTGGGATACCTTAGCTTTCATTACTTACCATTTATAATACTTGTAGCGTATTTATTTATAGCGGTAAAGGAAACTCTATTAGAACTCGGACAGATTTTTCACGTTTCGGATCATCCTTTCTTAATTTCTGCACGCCCAAGAAAAAATTGTGGATTTGCCCTGCACAGCGTCCGTCACTCGCGTCAACAGTACACCTGATCTAGCATTTAAGCTCGTTTAAGAAGAGTTGGGGCAAAGGAGAAATTCGCGCCGAAATTGGGCAGACATGCAATGATTGCTTCAGGTGACGTCAGAAAATGTAGCATCGAGAGCCAACCATTCCCGATTTCGCTTTGCGTAATCCGAAATCGCATCTATTCTCGACTGTTTGTGCTAATAGGAAACGAATCTTGGGAGCGCATAATTTTACGATAACAAATTTCTAAGCTGCGTTAAGTATACACACCTGCCGAATAACATGGCATGCACTTGAATACATTTCCTAGACTAAGTTGCATGCACCTGAAAATGGCCGTTGCCAGTTCAACTGATGCCACATAGCGTGAATGACTGCGCAACAAGTGCTGACGTCTCGCCACGTCCTTCTGACATCCCAATTGCTTCTGATGACAACATTTTGCTGGCATTATGAAAGGTTTAGACATACTTGTTGTAGGTACCAAAATTAGGGCGGGAAATGATCATATTGGGCCCCGCCCTCGTTTGGGCGCAGGCGTTCTCTGCGGCGCCATGGTGAATTCGACGAAAACGGCCGTCGAATTGGCTCTCAGGTTTAGACGACCAGCACGTCCTCTGAAACCACGGGTGTTTTTCGATGAGGCTGTCCTCTGGTCGGCTAGCCCATCGACGGGCTCTGGTCGACTAGGTGGCGTTCGACGAGCTCGTCCTCTGATCTGCTAGTGAGTCGCGCGAACTCTGACGGACGGGGTGCTTTTCGAGGAGCCTCGTTCTCTGACCGAGTGGCGCTGTTCGGCGAGCCTCGTCTCGGCGAACTGGTCGGACGAATGTGCGCGACTGTGAAACTCTGCGAAGGCATGCGAATTTCGCTAAGAAGGTTTTAGCAAAATTCGACATGCGGAACGGCATCACGTGCTCGACGGCAGGCATCTGGCGAAGCCGTCGACACGTTTTTTACCTGGCACCTGCGCAATGTGCCTGACGGTGTAACCGTCAACCTGCACCTACTTGGTAGGTGCGCACATGTGCGTAGATATTTACCTGCGAGTGCAGCGATGGCAGGCCGACCTGCTGCAGCGTTGGTACGTCGCCCTTCTGCTACGCTGGCAGGCCGCCCTGTTGCAGCGCTGGCGAACCGCTCTGATGCAGCGCTGGCAATTCGCCTTGGAGAATGCTTGCTAGGTGTTGCAATGCCATTCTAGTCATATCGACTTGCATGCCTCATTTTGTATTCATTTTTTTACAATGTTCTTTTCAATTTCTAGGGAAACTCTTGCCAAATTTCTCTGTGAACATAGCAAGCAGTAAGAACGCTAGTAGAGCGCTACGATCACCCGCACAACCCCGTGCCCTCCTCCGTAGTCCACTCCCGTTGTAGAGTGACTCTCCGCATGGTGCGGTGAGCGTGAACGGCCCCGCGTTTAGAACCTTCAGATTAGCCGACTTTTGCGCTCAATACCTAAGTCGTTGTAGGCCGGCAACCGTTTAGACCGCCGTGGACGACCAAGGAGTCGATGCAGGAGTAGGAGATACTCTGCAGGCGCGGTTGGATGGCGTTGGGGCACGCCACGAGGCTGGCGAGTACGGCGAGGCGGACTTGGAGATTTTGCTCCTATGAACTCGTGCGCAGTGGGCGTTTGAGCATCCCCCTCCCCGTGCTGAAGCGGACGGCGCGTCCGCCTCTCCCCGACCCATGCACAACGAAGGTGACAGCGGCGTACGGCTACTGTGCCAAAGCCGCTCGAAGGACGACACGACTTAATCGCATGGATAGAATCCATCGAGCCTCGGCTGGAGATCGCCGGATTGAAGAAGTTCGTCGACGGTGATGTGGTAGCTCCGGACGACGATGTCTCAGAACTCTATGCGAAATTTCGCGATGCTCATCTTCTGACCTTCATGGTCATTTCGAGGTGCTGCTCGCCGCTGGTGCAAGTCGCCTTGAAGCCGTGCAGACTTCGTGTCGACGCCGGCTATCAAGCATGGCAGTACATCATGCGCACCTACAAGGCGACCGACGACCTCTACATCGGCCAAATGGAGCAGAGATTGACCAACATTCGGATGGGCGAGCAGGAATCGGCGACCGACCACTGCAATCGAGCTCGGCGAATGTTGGCCGACCTGCGGATGGCCGGCGTCGACTACTCGGTATCGTCGTATGTCACGCATATCATCCGAGGTCTCCCCAAAGGCTACAATCTGATGCGCCGAATGCTGACAATGCCCGGCACGCGTGAAACTCTGAACGAGGACTCGCTTTCGAGTCACATCATCCAGGACGAGTTCATGCAGAAGTCTGAGCGGTCTACGGCGCTCCTTCCGCAGGCCAACTACGTCGCCCCGACGAAGCAGGTCCGTCAGCCCGGGCAGCGTGGGAAGTCGGGTGGAAGCGGAGGCGGTGGCGAAAAGTCGTCGAACACCAAGTCGACGGAGAGCGCCGACCGAAGGGCAATGATCGCCGTAGCAGTGGTTCGCGTCCAGGAGGACGCCGCTGCTACATTTGCGGAGACCCCGACCACCTCTCGTATAACTGCCCCGACCGCGACGAGTCCGACGACAATCAGAGAGGAAGCCGCGGAAAGTCTGAAAACGGTCGTCGATCAGAGGACGCGAAGTCTGACGCCGACCGTCGCCGTCGAGACAACCAGCCGCGCAAGGAGAAGCAGGCGTCGTCTAAATCGACATCGACATCAGAGGGAGGTGCTCCGAGCGGTGGTGCAGCTTCGTGTTCGATGGTTGGCGTGGTCGAGCCAACAATTTCGCTGGCGCCGGAGGCTGGCGAAGACTTCCAGACGGTCGCAGCAGCCGTGCAGGCGAATCCGACCGTGGTGCTCCTCGACAGCGGCTGCTCTCATCATCTGATGGGAACGCGAGAAGCCTTCGTCGACATGAAGCCGGGAGGCGAAATCCGTCACGTGCGTGGCTTCAACGGAGCGCTTCAAAACGTCGAAGGCCATGGCACAATTGCTCTGAAAGGGGAGGTCGGGAAGCCGATTCTCATCCGCGACGTATTGTACGTCCCTGGTGTGCAGGAGAATCTGCTGTCGGCTGGCCAGTCGAAGGACATCGGTGTGAAGCTGCACGATGAGGGCGCTGCTCGTTTCCGCTGCAGGATATGTGCTCGGTCGAGCACGCTTCACCGGCCGGGTCCTCTGCACCGACCTCCGCCCCTACTCGTTGACACCAATGTCGACTTCGACGGAGACAGTTGCTCTAGGGACCATCGCTTCGGCGACGAAGTCGACGCCGG